GGAATGCTGCAACATGTAAAAACCCCATTAGCACTGATTTAACATAACAGTACAAGAACACATATCTAACTATAGAACTACAATGGAGTACAAGACATCTAAATTATGGTCTAAATTATTATTTATCTATCAAGTTATAGTGTTTGAAATTTTTCATCTCAACTGGTTTGTAAGTTTGATTTATTTATTTGATTTATTTATTTTACTTTCTATATCTATATCTTTATAGTAGGATATGGCAAATCCAATACAGACTTTGCTGAAATTGATTTAGAGTACTTTTATTAAGGGATTAATCTGGTAAAATAATTAAAAAGTTGTGATAAACAAGTTTAGATTATGTGCTAGTCCACAGCTATGACTCTGCAGTGTTACTGTATTTGCTACATCAGACAGAAATACTGTGAATATATAAATACTCTATTGTATTTAGCGATGTCTGTGCCGAGAATCACAAGGGCACGCAATCTCTCACTGGGTTTCCCCAAAAGCCTGAAGGCAACTGAGTTCACGGTTAGGGAAGAAATATGAAAAAACAGATCTTATTATTGTCATGTGTGGGCATCAACATTGCAGGAAGCAGGCAGGAACCAAATGCAGTACTGGTGCAGATAGTTTATTTGAAGGTTCTAAATTCCAAAAACCAGGACTGAAGCATACACAAAGTCGAGCAGAGCTGAGAACAAGAACAGAGTTGAGCACAGCAACAGACTTGCTCAGGAACAAACTAGAAACAGTTACAACAAAATACTCGCTCACAAAGACAGTCACTAACCTACACACTGATCCAACAACAATCACAATGATCCAACTACAATGATCCAACCAGGGCAGAATGAGGGAGAGAGGTATATATACACAGGGAGCACCAGGTGACACAAGTGAGGCTAATTACAGACAGGTGAGTGTGATCACACAGATTACCCCACAAAGCAGACAGCAGGAAAAGGAAACAGACAGACATGACAATTATGGCTTTTTCAATTTAAGGGAAAAAACTTAGATGTTTCAATAGCAGCGTTGCCACTGGCTTCTTTCTGTCTGTGTGGAATCAATGCATGGCCCATTGCAGAGCCACATTTCTATTTCTGATGTCACAAATAAAACCTCTGGCGTGTTGATTCTCTGACAGACATCCTTTGAATGGGAAATATATCTCCTAGTCTCAGCTGTCTGGATTTTCGGACCGTTGCATCATGGGTACAACATCAGGGAAACAGCTTATGAAAGGGCAGTTTTATAAAGAACAAGGTCAGAGAGATGTTAATTCTTGGCTTGGTTGCTAAATTGAAATTAAACAATCATATGTCTGATTACACCAGGCTGATACCAAGGCAGATGCTTATGGAGGGCAGTGATAAAGAGGAGGCTGTGCCAGGCAGGAACCCTGAGGGACAAGTGAATGAAACAAACCCTGAGCCCTCAGCCTGGATGTGCTCCCTCTAATTTTACCCCTGACTATGAAATGGAAAATTAATGCCAGCATCAAATCCATTGCTTATAGAATTTTTCAGAGGAGCTGCTTCATTAGGCTTTAATGTCCATTAAGCTCAATTGCACTGTCACAAGCCATTATCAGCCTAAAAGCAGCCATAAAATAGAACATCACAATATGTGCTAAGGCTATCAGCCAGGCTCTATGACTGTGGTAATTTTCAATTTAGATAAAAACTCCCACTGACTATAAATATTAATACTGAATAGGAATGGGAAGAGAATGGGGGAATACAATTTAACATCTGCAACTCAAGAAGGCAAAAATAAGCTGTTGAACAGAAGATGTAAATGTTGACCCAAAGACACATTAGTGACACGGGCTGGGACTGCTAACAAAGATAACAATAATGGAAGCTTTTTTAAAAAAATATGAGAGCTGGTTCAATAGGTTGGAGGTTTAAAAGATGTTGAATCATACACTCATTTGAAAATGACTTTTCAAAAAAGCCAAAAAAAGCAGGTCATTTCAATGATTTCATTCATTAAACTTCTCTCCAATAAGTGTACCTGTTGTAAGGTGTGGAGAACGTTGCCATGACCACATCCCTTCTGTTGATGTGGATGACATTGGTCACCGCCTGCAGGATGTTGAAGTAGAAATGGGAATCGCCGGGGATGGAGCAGTTCAGTCTAGACTTGAGGAAAGACGTCCACTGTTTCTCCAGGACGCGCGGTGAACCACCTCGATCGTTCTTACAAACCCTGGCCACGCGAGGAAACACGACCTGTAATAACACCACAATGAACCTTTTTTAGAAACACATATACTTTGTGCACACACCACAGCTACCATCCTGGATGAAGGGGAAGCAAGGAGGGACTAGTAGAGAGTCTGTGGGACTAGCCTGTCCCTTAGATGAGCACAATAACACTGACATCAGGTGAGGTGTTTGAGCTAGATAGAATTTTCACCACTGAAACATATCAAGGTTAAATAACATCTGTGACTAAAACCAAAAGAACCATAAGAATAATAATACGAACCCCAGCGGAACTAATGGATCACCATTCCACCAACTGATGTGTCCCTGAGCAAAACACTTCTCCATATGTTGCTACAGAAAGCTGTATTCTTGGTGTGTGAATGGGAATAAAAGGCTTGTCAGATAATACACCACAGACAAGTGGTGCTGTGCCAGTTGAGTTCATTTATTTTAGCGTGTGAGAAACGGCAGTAGTTCAGCCACAACCTGCATCTTCATTTCACACTGGAGCCTGCAGCTAATCGGATAATTACTGCGTGTCATGGCTTTCGAAGCATTATTTGTCATTAGCAGTGAAACATCAGTGAGTGAAGAATCTTATATTAACCCTCCTGTTACCCTCAAAATCTATTATCCTTGGGGTAATAATTCAAAATATTACTCAACTTTTTGTGTCAGGTACTTCAGGTTTCTTTGTTGTTAACATAAAAAAGCCCTTCCAAGTCCAACCCCCCCCCCCCCCCCCCCATGTATCAAAAACACCTAATCAATGACTATATGAAAATAGGAAAATAGCCATTAAATCTCACTGGTTAAATCTCACTGATTGATCTAAAACTGGAAAGAAAGTACCTTCACATCATCTCTCAATGCAGATTTATTTCATTGATAACATGTTATAAGAGAGGCAATTTTGGTTGCAGACACAATTTCAAACATTTGGAATGTTTTTTAAATTTACTTTTAAACTTAAAAACATTTACTTGTAACATCATAAAATTGATAGATTTGCTGTTGCCTCACCCTTAGACCTGTAAACCCCTGCTAAAATGAGTAAACCACTATATGCTTTCAAAAAGGGTATCATCAATGTCTTGCCATGTATCCCCATATACACACTTCCCCTCTAAGTTGGTCATGTCCAGTATGTACTTTTCTATTGACGATGTAATGAAAAGCTCAAATGTTGTTTTTATATTTTGGGCATGCTATATTTTTGTTTGGCAGTTGTTTGTGTCATCAGAATTATCAGTGTTAGGTTAGGGCCCTAAACATAGGAACGCCCTCTAAAGTATATAAAAGTGTATTTTATGATGACCTTAATGTGATCTAAAACAAATAAAGCATATGTGATTATACAACAATGCAACATGTTCCTAAATGTTTTATACAGCTAAATCGGTATGGGGTCAAATTGACCCCAAGGAACACTGATGTATACAACATGCATACAGGACATCAAAAAAAGTTAATCCAATGTTTCTATCACTTTATAGAAAATTAAAGACACAGGCGAGTAAATTGGTGTGTTTGATAGGTTGTTAGAGAGCCCACACCTGGCAACCCAAAATTTAGCGCCTCCAGCTTCAAACAGGAACTGGTGCCGTAATTACAACTGTTCTGTGAGCTTGTGTAGGCAGTATTGTAATTAGTTGTTGTCACACTATACAGCAATAAAGCTAACCCTGACCTGAAACTGCAACCCAGAATGAACAGTGTGAATGGGAGCTAACGTGCATTTAAACCAGCTTTCCACACACACTCACCCACAAAGAAGCACATACACACACACGTCCATGGATACACTGCAAACCTCTGCCTTCATCAGTGCTCACACACACACCCACACACAAATCCTCTCATATGGGCCTGTTCACTGTGAGTGACTGTAGAGTGCTGACATTACTGCTAATGGCTTGCACTAAACATACAGGCTGGTGTATGCCTGCTGGGCATTGCTGCCTGACACACCTTCACCAGTGCCTCTGTGCTGGCGTGCTCATCTGAACACCTCCCTGGGCCCCACTAGTGCCTGAGTGTCACTAGTGGTGCCAACTTACCTCAAGAGTGATTTCCTTGGTATGATCACGGGGTCGGGATTAGGGCTGTGGCAGGGGAATTATTGGGGATCATTCTTATACTTACCTTCAGGGTAAGGGAAGGGGCTGAGGTAAGGGATGGGGTGGAATGGGGTGTCTTACTGGACTATAGCTTTTTCTGATTAGCTGGTTGTTTTTTTTATAAATTGGCTATCTTATTGTAAGACACATCTTCAGCAGTGGACCTTGGGGTCATCGAGTGTTTCGGCCATTATCACTAGACACTCTCCCCCTAGGAAGGTCCCGCTGGGGTGGATCATGCCCCAGGGTGTGTCTTGTTAATTAATTACTATTAGATTTGTAACTAGATTCCTAACTTGATTGTAGCTAGATTCCTAACTTAGATTGGTGGCCTTTTTTGCGCTAGAGTTACAGTTTTTTATTTAGTTATGCCTATTGTGTTTACTATTAGTAAATTTTTGTTGAAATGAATGGGTCACGCTTTGTTTGGCCCCCAACTCACCTCTTTCCTCCTGAGCCACAGCCAAAAGCTGCCCTTCTCAGCCTCTTCTGCCAGTTCCCTCATGGCTTTCCTGCGCCCTGCTCCTGTGGAAACCCCTGTATCCTACTTCAACGGGGCACATGATGGTTTTCCAGCCCGCCTCTCTGCATTCTGCTGCCAAATCTGCGTACTTTACCTTCATACCTTCCTCCCATGGGACAGTAAGCTCCACCATCAGAATGGTCCTGCATGGTTCTGACCATATAATCAGATCTGGCCGGAGTGAAGTTTCTGTGATCTCCCTGGGGAATTGGAGCTGCCTACCCAGGTCAACCCTCATCGACCACTTGCTGCCTGGTGAGAGTACCGTTGGTGTTACTCTCTGGCGAGGAAGGTTGGCGTTCTCTCCAGCCTTTGCAAACCGTATAGGAGGTCTTGCTGAGGTGGAAGGTCTGTTGTTGGCCTCCTGTCCACATGATTTCACCACCTCTGCCAGCTCGACAGGATATGCTGGAGGCTTGCATTGCCAGTGCTGCACAGGGCACAGGACTCTTCCGCACCAAACAACAGGTGGAGATTTCTGGGACAAGGCAGGGTGTCATAGGACGACCTGATCAGGAAGCTGAGACTGGCCTGGGGGATCTTCCACATATCAATCCATGCCAGGGGCCTGTCTGTAACACCTTCCCATGACATCCAGCCTCCCTGTCGGCTTTGAGACACCGCTTTGATTTTAAGGCGTTCCAGCTCGGTCCTTGTCACCTCTGCCACCACCATGGCTTTCTGCTCTTCTTTCGAGGCCTTTGACCAGAAGAGGGTGGTCTTGCTCCATCCGAGGCCTGCTCGGCCCTCCTGGACACTGCCGACTACCTTGCAGTGTTTCAGCCTGCTGATCGCTCTGTCCACCTCTTCCTGGGCTTTCCACTTTCTCCCTCTTCGTACTTTGGGAGCAGCTGCTCTCACCGGTTGATCAGTGGAATCCCTCAGCTCCAGCACCTTCTCTTGTTTGTAGCCCAGATCTATGGATCGCAGTGGCAGCTGCAGTGCATTTCTGCCAAAGAGGCCTACATCTGATAGGCATCTCAGCCTTGGGTACAGTATGAACTGGTAACTCCATACCTTGTACTTGCCGGGGAGCTGGCTCTGATTGATCCTGGCCAGACCATCTGCCAGCTGTTTCCCCCATTTTCTTGTCGGAGAGTTCTGCAGTATAGGTACGACCAGGGCTGCGGATTAGTGATGGGAAGACTGACTGTTTTTATTGATTCAAATCTTTGACTCTCGAACAGTAAAATGAATGAGTCGTGAACGAATCTTGAACTAATCATTTCATTCGTTTTACAGCAGGTGGCGCTTTAGCCCTATTGTGGGCGTTGTAAAGAAGGCTGCGGTTCTCCGACACTAAATACTGAAGGCAACATGGTTTGCTTCCGCTGAAAAAGTCTACAAAGTACACAAAATGCCATAAGCAATTAAAACCATGCGAAAAGCTAAGAAATAAAAGCACACCACAATGTGAAGCTGAATGAGAGCAAAAATAAAACGAGCTCTTTCACGTGACAAATGAAACGAATCTGTGAGAACGAAGCGAAAGATTAGTTCACAGAGAATGATCCGTTCATACTATGAACGGATCATTCTCTGTGAACTAATTTTTCGCTGTGAACTAATCTTTCGCCGTAAACTAATCTTTCGCTGTTCACAGCAAAAGCAAGCGAGACATGTATTTTATTTACAATTTAGAGTAAATAAATAGTAAAAAAAAATTATACATTATTTATTCACTAGATCTCTCTCTGTGTGTGTGTGTTTTTTTTTTAGCCTAGACACTTGTGAATTCTTCATGGGAAACAATGAGTGGACCAGTCAAACAGAGCTATTGCAGGATGGATGTGGATGAGAAACTCAGGCAGTATATTTAGACTTTAAAATTAGATCTCCAGACACCCGCCAAGTTATTGTGTGTGTGCATGTCAGTGGGTGTATATTTTAGGTTCTGCATCCTGCCTGGTGTTTATCACTTAATGAAAAATGGTTTGGCCACATTACAGCTCTATAAGCCTCCTTCCATTTTTCTGATACATCCATATCCTGTTTGTTTCTTCAGGCACTTCCTGATTGTTTTCTCTAAATAGGAGATCACCTCTGATTACACTTCAAACAATAACAGAGAACTGAGCCAATGCCTTACCTTTCCCATTGTGTTGTACTCCATGGCAATTTCCCGAAAGAAGAAGTAAATGAAGTCACCATAATTGACCGCCTGGACAAAGTAAGGCTCTGCAGGCAAACAAAGTGAAATAAAATGTGTGTCAAGTTGCTGCTTTGTCTTGACGGAACAATTTTGACACCACATTTCACAGTAAACACTCCACAATATCTGCCATATTATGCAGAAAGGCACTGACTGTGAGCCCTGAGTGCCTCAATACATCATCCATCATATCAGCGAAACAATTTGCATGCAAGTATAGAAGGATCTCTATTGAGTTTTGACAGGCCGGACTTGTGTTTGCTTCTCCCCGGGGCTGAGCAATTTCCTGGCTACATCAACTGTATCGCAACAGGTTGGCAAAATGACTGTGTCAAACAGAGCGTGTAGCATTAGCATAAGTGCTTTCACTCCTCATACCTAGATTTATACACAGAGGCGTTGGAACACATAAAGCATAAAGATAGAGATAAAGATACAACAGAACCATATGGCCCGAGCCGCATTTTTAATCCCGCCTTGTTTCCTTAACTTGACAGTCAGCTCTGTGCATCCCAGTAGAAAGGAGTTGGTTTGTGGGCCTCACACTCACCTTTGAGCCATTTGGAGTCGTGTTTGACAGTGCGTAAGGTGAGACTATCACCAAGGCTACGATAGATGACCGCATCGATCGCCAGAAAGTCTGTTACGGTGGCCGAGTACAGCTTGCCATCTGAAAAAGGGAACACAGAGATGGAAAGGGCAATAAAGGGGGGAAGACAGAGATTCAGAGGGGAGAAGGATGAAGAGGAGGCCACTCAACAAAGAAGCTGTACACAGTTCAACAAGTCACATTTGTAGTTGTTTATTCTCACAAACACTCTTTTCTCTAACCCTCTTAGACACCCACAGTCACACGTCATGTGCACACACACACACACACACGCATACACATGCTTTACAAACACCATCCAGCAGCAGCAGCATGACCTCAGACTGCCTTAGTGAAACCACAGTGGAAACTCAAACTACATAATTGAAAGGACAGCAGTCAGAGGAACCCTTTTGATTACTCTGCTTCCAGTTCGTTCCAAGCAGCTCTGCTCCACATTAACTGGTCAATCCGCCTGTTTGCTCTCTTTCTGGGCTTCAAACATGCAGGGACAGCTCATCAATACTGAAATAAATCGGTTCACAGGAACTGGTACCGAATGTATTTAGCAGCCTGTGGCTGCTCCGCACAAGAGGAATCCCACACCGCCGTGGGAAATTTGACTCATCCATTTGTGACTAATGTTTCATCTTATGCATTTTGGAGAAAGGTGAATGACAGACGGAGAAGATGACAGAAACCTACATTAAAAGTTGGAGACAGATGGTTCTTTTTTTATTGATTGTTACCACAATCGCTTAAATAAGCAGTAAATTCTCAGCGCAGAGAAAATGTTGCCCCAAGTTTTATGATGTGCTGCAGCGCCGCTAACACTAGCTAGCTTTTAATTTTGACATGTTGCAGATGCACTGCCATTAAAATAAACCGCAGGGTATTAGGAACAATATTAAATACAACTGCCGCTAATACTCTGAAAAGATGTAGCTCCATCCATCTGTTCAAATGTTTAATAAGTAAATAGAAAAAGAGACGAAGGTGGGGTTAATGGTTTAACATCATGGGAGTTAGTTAACATAGAGTATACATTTTACCTGAATCTTAGGGGAATTATTGTAAAGAATAAAGACTGTTGTAGCTAATGTACAACTGAAATATAGTAGAGATAACAGTCAGTCTAACAGTTTGCCCTGATTGATGCAGACGCACATCCGCTGACCGATGCAGACCTGGCAGAAATGACAAAGCCACAAAGCGACGATGAAAGAGAAGAGGAAGAAGAGGACATAAGTGTGGCTAAAGATGAGGAGGAAGGACTAACACTTGGTCGCTTAGCAACCATGGTGAGAATGGCCACTGAACTTCAGCGAGTAGCTCAAGAATGGGACCCTTTGATGAGCCGTTCATTACAGTTCTCCAACATAATCGATGGTGGCATGTCGTTGTATAAGGATCTTTTTGCAAAGAAGAAAAAAGAGCGACAACAACTGCCTATCACTATGTTCTTCTCCCGAACAAACACACCTGCACCGCGGGCTTCAAAAGAAGAAAACACTGCAGAGCGGAGTCAGGATGCAGCGGCTCAGTCTGAAGAGCAGTGAAATAAAGCTGAGTCACTATTTGTCCGACTGTACAGGTAATTTGTATTTTTTTCATAATCATTTTTAATTTTCTCCCGTTCACGGTGGGCGGTGCTAATCTCCGCAATTTGAAGCCTTCTGTTCACGTTGATGATTAAAATTATTATTTGACAGTACATTACAGAAGTTATTTGTTGAAACGTTTCTAAAGTACTTTTATTTTACTTTATTTGTGAAACAAATGGTTGAGACTGTAAAATGGTTTGTTCGTTCTTTCTCTTCTTTTTCTGAGTATTTAATTGTAAAAAAAATAAAGATTTCTACTTCACGGATTTTGCCTATCACGGGTTCTTTTTGGAACGTAACCCCCGCGAAAAACAAGGGTTTACTGTATTCTGTAGTGTGCTCCAAAGAAAGTACGTTATGCTCCAAAATAAAAAAACATTAAGTAGCAGAGATAAAGTACAACCGTCAAGTAAACATGTTAAAAAATAATAATAAAATAAATATAATTCTTAGAAGTGCCTATTTAGGACATGACATTGGTAAAAACGAACAGCAAACAATGGATGTATTTTTCTGATCTACATCAGATAATTCCATAGCCAAGGGGCTTAAACTGTAGGGTCTCTCACTGCCTGATTGTAAGTACCATACAAATAATCATTCACATTATTAAAACATATTTTAAATAAATTAGGAGCCATTGACGTTTGAATTCTTCTTGCAGGATTCTATCTTGAAACCTATTCATATTACAGCAGAACAGAGAAGAGAACATGTTAAGTCTTACCAGCAAAGAGTGCAATGTTGGCATGTTTGGCATCATATGGGCACCGTGCCATCCCGCTGATCTCCTCTCCCAGAGCCTCCAAGTTGTCCATCTAGGGTCAGAAAGGAGGTGAAAGGTCATGGGAAATTCAAGACAATAGAGCCCAAACAATGTACTTAAAATATGACTCAAGAAGTCTGAGTCCACTTTGATGGAAATACTTGGCCTCAAAGAGAAATTCAGTGTTATCCTTTGGGTTTTACTTAAAAAATAAGAAAAAAAAACAAGATAAAACACATTGTGACAGTAAAATAGAAGTTGTCATGAGATGATAGTCAGCAGCCTGGGAGTAAGCATTCAAACTGTGACCCAGACTAATATCTTAATGATGGCACTCTGGTAACCCTACGGGAGCTGTCAAAACAGCCTGTCTAGGCGTTAACTGAGGAACTGTCATAGAGGTAGATAAGAAAAAGCAGACGTTTTCCTGAAAAACGCATATCTCAGTGTTAGTGAATGCAGTTGGTTTTCCCCTGCTATCTTTCATCCTTCAACTGTGCTGGTGTTTAAAAACGAAAAAATTAACAACCCTCAGTGCTGATCTTTAACCCATTTCCTACGGTGCGCTCCAGTGTGTCCTGCTTTCTAAAGCCAGTGCTTTGCTGTGGAGATGAAATAATGGGCAGAGGGGAGAAAATGGGTGAGAACATCGCCACAAGCCGGGGATGTAAAGAGTTTATAGTAAAGTATGTTGGGTTTCAAATCCCACATTGGAGTCATAATTCTGTACTTTGCACAATCATGTGACCTAATTAAAGAAGGATATTCATTGGTATACATCTAGAGAGTGTAACAGTTAATTGCAAATTTCCATGTAGTCAAAACTGTCACGAAGTCTGCAAGTCTCAAAAAGATGTGAATGGCATGGGTGCCAATTTAGAATCCCTTTGGATCATTGATGGATGGTCTCTTTTTTTATAAGTTATAAGTCACAATATTTTACATTTTCTCTAAATAAAAGACATTCCCTCTGGACCTGGGTCCAGCTTTGAACACTGCCGCTTTTATTTACATCCTGACCACCATGAGTATTTCACAAAGCCTCCTGTATTATTTTACATACTGTATATTTTACTGTATATTTTACAAAAGTCCAATAGCCAATAGATCTGTACTAATAGCATTGTATTCCTTGTTAATAGTTTTTGTACTATTCAGTATTCAAGTACTGAAAACAGTCAAAAGTGGTTTTATATTCAAAAATGTAGTCAAGATCAAACAGTCATTAGGTCCCCTGTTCAGATCCACTGCTGTGCTCGTTTATGGATAAATGGGCTGATCTTCTTCAATCGGAATTTAGTTTTACTGTCTCAATGTCAGTCTGACTCTATGATTGGCCAGGCATGGATGTGGGTGAGAGATGATAATGATCGCAGCATGAGTCGTCTTGTTTTCCATGGCTCACCATAGGATGCTCTCTTAACCTGGCTAATGATACACACAAACAACATCAATGAAGCTCTGGCCAGAGACTGAGGTCAGGGAAGATTATTGAACCCACTGCTGTTCTGCACCACTCACCATACATTTTTTTTTCTTCCTTGTCTTTATCACTTTCTGTCTCTGCAAATCTCCTTCCTCACTTTCTCCTGTTTGTTTTGACAAAAGACAAGCACACCTTACCAAGGCTGCAAACTACTTAAGACACCCTATCTGGTCTCTAAACAGGTCATTTTGTTTTCTATTTCCGTCTCGGCGGAAACAGTTACCATCTGCCCACTAAAAAGGTCACACACACACTCCGACGAAACACTGAAAAAGCCTGTGAGAAAAATTGAAGAGGCTGATTTGGCAAAGAAAATTACATGTGACCTTTTACAAGAAACACAGCATCAGCAGCAGCACATTTCTCCATTTCTCGTACCTTCTGTTTCGTCAGAAATTACAGATGGATGTTGCACAGAGGCAGGCTGGGTTGAAGGAAAATATATTGTTATCAGACAGAGGAGACTGTAATTATAGATAGGCCAGGGTAATCATAAGGGATGTGAGGAGCTGAAGGTCAGGTGTGTCCGCTGAATTATAGCGTGTCTGGGTGTACATGGCATCAGAGGCAACTCAGTTGAGCTTGAAACGTCAGCAACTTTGGTGTCAGCTCCCTAACACAAACACCACGTCTGGCCTCTGTCTATTGGGCCAGCCTGGCTGTCACTGATCTGTTCCTGCCGTTTGAACGTTTGCCATTAACCATGTCTTAAACAACATACTAATTTATTTTAGGAAAGCGGAAAAATCATTGCATAAAACTGCCATAATGAACCACAACATTTTATTTCAATGTTCCATGAAGAAATATGAGGTTGAAAGAAGCAAATGGATTTGTTTACATTGTTACCAGACAAACATTATTATACTGTCCCCTCCACTAGCTCCAAAACACAGAGACATACCACACATTTGCAGAAAAAAGAATACTGCGGCAGTCATACTATATTGGCCACCACAGTAAAGTTAACATAACCTTAGCTATGCTAAAGAGTTGAATTGCCTGTGTGCAGTATGTGGGAACAGTGCTCAGGGTACCTCAGTGGTAACTTGGCAGCTGGTGGACTCGAACCAGGAGCCTTCCAGATCCAAGTCCACTTTCTTAACATCTAAGCCACACCCTTATATTATTATTACATTACTCTGAATCCCCCACAACAATAAGCTTAGATCGTTAACGACCTTATGACTGTAATCTATTTTTATTATCTTCTCTGGCCTGTGGTAGTTAGTGTTCTGAAGTTTTCTCCTACCTATAGTTTTTTTAATGCAGTTTGAAAATGAAGCTTTTCCAAAGGTCACTTCTAGGGCAGGTATTTCTTCCACGTTGTTTGTTTTAAAAATGTCAAACATAAAGTGTGTGTCGTGTACAGTTGTGAAACACAAGTTCTTTATTCAGAAGGTCTCACACACTGGTTAAAGACACAGATGTTTGTACAACTTCTCAGACAAACTTAAGTCTGCACTTTGTGTTTTGGTGTGGAACGTATGTTAAATATACTGTATGTTGTTTAAATACCTTAACCATTGAGTACAATTGTGCATACATTTTGTTTTGTCACTGCTGACAATTTACGACTGCAACTTTAAAAATTTGCCAGTGTTAGTTTAACATGAAAGAAAAATGTAAAATTAAACAGCACAACAGCCTTGTTTCTTCTGTAATATTTAGCAAAATAATGTGTGTATATCAGGGACTATACACTACCAGTCCACACTGGCACAGCTCACCTTTCCCCCATCCCTCTCTCAGACTAAAACACTCTCCTTCTGTCTTAAAAGTTGTGACCGACTGTGCAGACAGGCACAGATTTGCATACCCTAATTCTGGTTGTCTTCTGTTTTACAAAACAAATGATTACCAATTGGTTGGGATTGCATACCTACTGATGCACACACAAACAAACACACAAACATGGAAATGATGTGGGACAAGGCCTAACATATTCCCCATACGGGACGGCACTATTGCAGATCCGGACGGAATCTCAGCAGAAGCCCCAATCAGTTAATCTGAAAACTTCTGATCAGACCATAAACGTATCGATGATGAAGTGGTCCTCGTGGTTGTATTCAGTGATGAGTGTTGTTGTGTCAGTAGGAGCCATCTTTATCATTACCATCATCCATCTTGGCATCAGACTCCTTCAGGTACCGATTTGTTACACTTTTTTTCAGTCAAGTCTAGTGTGTAGCATCCCTGATAGCTTTTGTACCTAGATTTAGCTGTTGTTTTTTTACTTCTGACAGCTTTACACTTGGACGTGATATTATGGAGCTATAATAATGCTACTAACATCAACATCGTAATATTGAAGGCCTTCAGTGTTTATTTTTAATTTAGTGTTTATATTTAAACACAAACCCACCTTTTCTTTTCCTCTTCTCTCCCACCGTCCTCCGATTGCATTTTATTGTCCCTGCCTTCTAAACCTTAAACAAATGACTGTTATTACTGAACCTTGAGGTAGTGCAGAGTCTCCCTCTCTGGAAATAAATGGATGCCTAATATTTATGCTCTGTGGAGATGGGGGAAAAAGTGAGGAGGGCAATGTCATTCAGTGGAGCTCATTTGTTTTCCTAGTCTGTTTGTATAGATCCGTACTGAGTGTCACTATACTGCACTGCGGTGGTAGCTGAGATGTGTTAGCAGCTTTCATTCTGAGGGAATGTTAAATCTTAATTTACAGTTTCATTTTAAAGACTTGTGCTTTTAACTTTGATAAACCGACCTCTGACACCTTTCCTTCTCTCTGATGTCCCACATGCTAAAGTACCAGTGACAACATGATCTTGCTGCAGATGGTGTGTCTGTGCATCGTTCAACTATTCAATGCACTTTGCACAAGGACATGCTGTATGGGAGAGTAATGCGGCAGAAGCCTTTTCTGCGCCCATGCCACAAAAAGAGTCGCTTGAGGTATGCTAAAGCACATTTGGACAAGCCAGCTTCATTTTGGAATAAGGTGCTGTGGACTGATGAAAGTAAAATTGAGTTATTTGGACATAACAAGGGGCGGTATGCACGGGGGAAGAAGAACACAGCATTCCAAGACAAACACTTGCTACCCACAGTTAAATTTGGTGGTGGTTCCATCATGCTGTGGGGCTGTGTGGCCAGTGCAGGTACTGGCAATCTTGTTAAAGTTGAAGGTCGCATGGATTCCAGTCAGTATCAGCAAATTCTTGCGAACAATGTTCAAGAATCAGTGACAAAGTTGAAATTGCGCAAGGGCTGGATACTTCAACAAGACAACGACCCTAAACATTGCTCAAATTCTACCAATGCATTCATTCAGAGGAACAAGTACAACGTTCTGGAATGGCCATCTCAGTCCCCAGACCTGAATATCATTGAAAATCTGTGGTCTGTTTTAAAGCGGGCTGTCCATGCTTGGAAACCATCAAACCTGACTGAACTGGAGATGTTTTGTAAAGAAGAATGGTCAAAAATACCTTCAACCAGAATCCAGACCCTCATTGGAAGCTATAGGAAGCTATAGGAAGGGTTTAGAGGCTGTTATTTCTGCAAAAGGAGGATCTACTAAATATTGATGTAATTTTTCT